AATTATCTGCCTCATTTGATAGTCACGCGTTAGTTGTTCAGAGAGGGTAACTCTTTTCATCATCTCCGTGCCAATTAAATTGACCTAAAAGAGAAGAGAATATGAGAACTCTGAAAACAGAAAAAGGTTAAAGTAAAGCTTGAAAAAGGGATACCTTTAAAGAAGCATGCACTATGTCATTCATCAAGGTCAAAGAACTGTGGCTATCAAGCTTAGCTCTTTCAACTGGACCAATCAAAGGCTTTAGCCACACGTCTGCTTGGCCTGATTTCCTTAAAAGATTACCCTCAGCAGGAACTTCAATAGTGACTTGCCTCATAGCAGTACCTCTACTTGAGGAACCAATCTCAGTATGATGAACAGATGGAGGGGGATTTGTTGAAGGAGGAACAGTAGAAGCAATAAAAAAAGTCTGGGGAGGAACGGAAACATCCACGATCGGCAAAGAAGGAGTCACGGGAACGGAAGTAGAAAAAGAAGCCAGGGGTGCTTCATCAGAAACCGGACCAAAATCTTCACTACCAAACCCGCGGTTAAAAAGCTGCTCAACAGAATCATGAGCAGCAGCGGGAACATCATCAACATCATCAGGGATCACCACTGTGGCTTCAACAGACTCGGTAAGAGGAATAGAACGGCGGGGGATGCTTCATCATCAGAGATAATACGTCTACGAGCCTATGGCCTTGTTACCAAGGAACCTTCATCTTCCTCTTCTTCAGGATCTTGGTCATCAACGGCTTTTCTTTTCGATGAAGAGCCCAAAATTATTTATTGGGCCCTTTATAAAGAAATACGAGAAGCCACGACCGCCTCGGCACTAATCCCTCAAACTGCAAATCCTGATAAAAAGAAGGATTAAAACAAGTTCAGCAAAAAGCAATATGTAAAATAAAAAATTCTTACCGTGAGTTTTCACTTTCCAACCAAATCGTTGGGAAAGAGTCTTCCAAGATCTACCCTCCATTGGGGCAGTGTTCAACAGCTTTCCTACCCAAAAAACACGGAAATTGGGAACATCGTCCACAACTCCCATGGTTGCTAGAAAATAAAAGGAAAATTAGAATAAATAATCATCAAAAATTGAAGGGAAAAAGGTACGAGAAAATTACTCATGTGCAAAATTCCACCTCTCGGGGAAGGGAACATTTCCATCACCCACCAAACCAACGGTCGGAGCAGCAACAAACCTGGCATACCAGCCACGGTCTCTGTCATCCTCTGGACTAACCAGAACTCTTTTGCTCCTTGCTATTACAGTGAAAACACCATTGCGAAAAAGTCTGGGGGAGTAAAGATGAATTAGATGGGAGAAAGTAAAAGGCACACCAGCCATATTGGTCAAATGCCTCAAACAGGCAACCGCCCTCCACACTATAGGGCCAATCTGACCTAAACATACGTCGAAAAAACGACAGAATTCTAGGATGACAGGGTCAATAGCAGGTTTGAATCCTAAGGTGAAAGGATATGTATAAACAAAGGAAAATCCCATCAAATAAGAGGTGATTCTTTGGTTCGCATTAGGAATTATGATGGGGAAGTCATGACTCCAATGGAGTCTTTACGAACTAAAGAATCAGACCTTCAGTGATCTGAGTTGGGTAAATATCAGCATGATCTAAAGAAGATACTTGATTTCTAAGAGACTCTCTATCATTATAGAAAGATAGTTCCGCGGGAACTATCTCCTCTACTAGAGGTTCACGAAGAGGCTCAGAGGATTCCTTACTTCTAGAGGAAGATCTATGTGAAAGAAAACCTCTGGTTCTAGAAGAAGGGCCAGAACTGGATGAAGGAAGAGAAGAACCACATATGGATGAAGACCCTAAATTACGTAGTCTACCTCCTCCTCTTCTACTCCTATTAGGGATAAGAGAAAAGTTATCAACTATGGGGACTCTCCTAGGGTTAGGGTTTGGTGAAGCCATGACAATACGAGGAAGGTAAAGAACAAGAATTGAATATTCTAAAAGTTTTACGAGGAATATGGAAACAAGAATTGAATACTCTGAAAGCTTTATGTGGAAAAAACAAAAGCGAAAAACTAAATTTATACTAGAAAGCAACCGTCAAAGGAAAAGGTACAATGATAGAAAGGTCATAATGAGAACTGTCGCTTCGTGATTAGTGAAGCTGTGAAAAAGCCTTAAAAAGCGCTGCAAAGTCGCAGAGCCAATAAAAGTATGCCACGTGTAATGAACATTAAATGGAAGTGACAATTGAAGCATCAATTCTATCATAGCATTAACGGCGGTAAATATTCCCGCTTTAATGAAATCCACTTCCCAAATATTCAATTGATGAATAAATGGCAAGTGAGGGGACTATCTGTATTGGGTAAAACTGAGTTTATACATATCGAAGTGATTGAAAGATGACATATCATGACACGTAGGCAGGACAAAGAATGATGATTAGCAAAGAGGCACGAGTTGCAACATATATGAGCGGAAGCACAAGAAGAGGCACGAGCAAATATTCAAAAGACTCGATGCTCGTACCTATTTAAGTCTAAAAGCTGAAAAGAATGAACCTGACAGCACAGGATAGCCCAGATACAGTATTTAATAAGCATTAAATACTGAAAACGTTAAAGAATCTGTATTAAATTACAATGATTATGTAACGTAGCATTTAATGCCTTTAATCGCCCATAATGACCTTATTATGAAAAATGCAAAATGTATAACTTAAAAATAGCTATAAAAGGGAGAAGACTGATCATTTGTAAGGACACGAAAAATCAACTGAGTATATTGGATTACTTTATTTTCTGCTATCTATTTGTTATCAAAATCAATTTCTTTTATTCATTTTCGATTATCAGTAACCCGAGTTCTTCTAAAAATAAAGCTTTGACTGAAATTCCATTTTTTGGTTAAACAATTAACCATAGGAGATAAACTAAGGTCTTCTAGGATTTTTCATTTTGAATAAATAAGAAATTAAAAAAAGGCTAATAGAATCATATAATAACTAATGTTACAAACTCTTAGGGTTACTGTCATCCTCTTTCTTTTATTTCTTTGCAATCATCCTCTGCATTATTCTTCCTGCATCTTGTGACTTGAATCTTATGTAATTTAGTGATTAATGTGTAGAAATTCATAGTTCTCCATAACTTTTTCTAAGTTCTAAACTTTGTTTCTTTGACAAATACTTAGGAAGAATCTTGTCTTCTTCTTCCATACATAGTTTTATTGAATAAACACAAACACTGTAAAAACCATAACTTGAAAATTTTTAATCCTTGAAAATAGTCTTATCAATATTGACTAATTATTTCATTTACATAAAATACCATTTTATACTGTTAGGTCACAAGGACGGCTCAAACATATGTGTGGCCTAAAGGCAGAGTTTACTGTGAGGCCTAAATTTTTTTTTTAAAATTTGTTGATAATTTTTTTATAATCGCTTTCCTCTAATAATTCCTTTTCAATTGATAATATAGCCAACAAATTTAATCTATCTTGAAACATTGTTAATCTTAGGTAAGATTTTATCAATTATAATCTTGAAAACTTCTTTTCTTTGAGAGAGCTGCTATAGAAAAACTCTATTTTTATATGAAAAGTGCTAAATATTATTTTTTTTAAATACCTATAAATCTATTATTTTTAAAAATGGGGCCCCCAAAATTTGGGGGCCTAAAGCAAAAGTCTTACTTGGATGTACATTAGAGTCGGCCCTGTTAGGTCACAATGGGACTCTAAGAAAGAAGAAAATTTGTGTCTCACAGTTTTAGATTTCATATCTGCTCTCTCACGGTAATATATTTTTTCAAGATTTACTTAACGATAGGAGTGTAACGGAATAGCTGACTAGATTACTAAGTATATTTAATTATTATTTTAGAATATGTACCAAAAAAAAAAGTTAACTATGATTAAGCACTAATATATATAGTTAGATTAAATAACTAAGTGTCATTTTTTTATTGGCTTGATGTAAACACCCGGTACGGGTAAGTTTTTACCACATCTATTATCTATTTTATTATTTCATATTGTCACTTTGATCTTAATTTCGTAACACCATCATGGAAATTAAGGAGGGATTATTGGCCTTTCTTTTCTTCTGAGTAATTAACGAGATGTAATTAATGATGTAATTTCCATTATTGCGTCTTATCTTACACTAAAACTAGTGGCGCACTAATTGACCGTGCATATTTTCAAATTTGACCTTATTGCACGGAATTGAAGAAACAAAGAGATAGTGGGATTTAAAAATAAAAGAATGGCAACTTGGAGGTAATTTTGAATTAATAACAAGGAGAGACTAATATAATTACTTAATGGTGTTGGGATTATATTGCGATTTGACAACTAATTAAGTCAACAAGACTCGAGTCCATAGCCACCTTCATTTTGCTTATTTAGAGAAAGTTAGGCCATCGAATATATAATTTTTTTATTCTAAGCCACTTGTACCATGTGTCTCAAAGATCATTTAATGATGATTTCATAAATATTCAGAAAGTTAAGATGCAAGTTGCCTAACAAAGCATTGGCCCTAGCAAACTCTTCCCAATCTTTTAAACAACGCATTGTTACGATATCACACAATTTGTTATCAAAATAATTTGATGGCATTGCAACAAGCCAAATTATATGTTTACTTCTTCTTAAAAATCAAACTATAATTACCGCAAATATCCTCACTCTGACTCTTACGCCTATTCTGCTTCCATACTATTACCCAAAAGACTCAATGAACGAGTTAAAAAAACTTTATTGCCTATGTAAGAAAAGTAAGAAAACCATTCGCATAACAATTAATAAATCATCCATCTAATTTAATTATGTGACACTCTCTTCTGTTCGAAATGTCTTAGAATATTTAACACCATTCTATTTCTATAACTTTTCCATACAAATTTGTCAAACTGCTCAAATGTTAAAACTTTTACGTGCTATACACAGGTTGCTTGGCTTGTAAACAAGAGTCCACACTCTCACAAAGAAAAAAGGACAAATAACAAAAAGCATCAATTTGGGCATCAAACACAATCCTCCTTTATTTATAGTAGTTACAAGATTGTCATCTCAAGTTCTACAAATGCCTAATAATGGTTTTAAACAATCACCCCGCACACGAAATTATGATTAATATTGAGTTTATAAAACAAAGAAATGACAAGTCGAAAACAAGATAGATCGAGAAGCCTATAAAAAAAAATGAAGCAACAAAGATGGTAAAATATGTTATTCACATGAAATTGTTTAGAACCTAGCAGTCAAAGCAGCTCATGAAAAATCTTGAAAAACTCTGCAGCAGCAAAACCCCCTACTTTATTTTTTGTTCTCGCCTTGCCTTCATGTTATTAACACCTAAGAGAGGACAGGAACTGTACCACCAGCTGCCAAGATTTGTTGCTCCAGCTGCATTGTCAAAACAAGACAGATTAGATCAAATTCTTGAGCTGAACTTTCGGATGGTGAGATCCTTTTTTACTTTAGAAAGAATTATTTATCTATATTGGTTAATGTCTTTGACTATCTAAGAAAGTCCAAGATAATGTGAAAGCTTAAGTTCATTTCAAACATTATTGGACTTTAGATCCTTTGACGCAAGAATCTAATATTCAACTGCTTAATGAAGGTGACAAGAAGAGCTAACATTTCCAACCAGTTGGAAGCAAGAAGTTAGAAAGATGCCTCATTAGGAGAATCAAGGATTCAAAAAATAAATGGAAAAGAAATGGTGAGGCTGATGTGTTATTTGGTTGCCAAATACCACGCCTTAAGTTAAATTTCTTATTTGCCTTTGAGTTACATTTCATACTTGCTTATCGAATTCCAGAGTGAAAGCACATGTTGAGTCAACTAAAACAAGAAGACGTTATTTGTGAAACCGACAAGTCGATGGTTAAACATAGGGGAAACCTAGCAATATAATCAGTGAGACACACCGCACTTCTAGTATTATTATCACAATCCAGATAGTATATATTTTTTTTTTTTTGTTTGAGAAGGAAAAAAGATAGCTTTGCATTCTTAGTGGAGTACTTACCCTAAACAAAGTTTCAAGTTTATTCTTCACAAGAAAATATTCATGTTTCGCATGCTGCAGACATTGCACACACCTGCACCAAAAAAATGAAAAAGAAAGTAAAAACCTTAGTTATTCCAGAAGTACAGAATTGTTACCTATCATGGTCTGAAACACAATCTTGGAAATCAAGTTCATATTTCCAATTACAATCACAAGATAAAATGAATACGTGAACCGAACTAAAGCAAGTTAAGAATGGAGCCAGTCATTTATGACAACTATGCAAATACGTACGTCACACTTAAACAGAACTTACCAATTTTATGCTTTATGTTATTTCATAGAGTTTCAAAGTTATTATGAGGGAACACAAAGTTAAACTAATGTTTGAAGAAACCCAGTAACACCATTAATATGATCCAAACTGCTGAGTTAGGCGACACTGTATACATTACACTTAGTACAGGTACTTTCACTAATTGCTTCCAATATACTACCAAGCATACTACTTTCTGGAAATGCTAGCTAAATTGATTAGCTTTCCAAGAATGACATAGATTATGCAATTTAATGCTTCAATCTAGCTGACATATCCTGTTAAACCACGGTATGAAGAAGATTATTACAATCCCAAAAAACACTGCATGCTTGTCTTGAGCAAACGTGAGCTAAAAGAAAGTTTAATTGTTGCTTTTTCAAATTTAGCAGAGATTATTTTCCATAATGGTGTCCTCTTGCTGGTTTTTGGGTGTCTGTGTGTGTGGGGGGGGGGGTGGGGGGGGGGGTGGCGCGGGAACATATAATGAAAATGTTGTAGTAAGATAATTCAGAAATTTTTGAAATCTTTGGCAGTCCAAAGATACTTGAAGAAACTTAAGATATAAACAAGGACTGGTTTAAAACTTCCATTTATCATTTAAAGCTAGAGATAAATCCTCTTTCGAGTCCAAGTAGAAAAAGTAGGCAAACAAATACATAAAATAAAGGATTTAGAGGGGAAGATGTCCGTCGTCTTCTATGCATGCATGAGTGTATGCAAGCACAATACAGATGGCCCAAGGAATGGAACAGGAAACACAAAGTGAGAAGAACTGTTTCTACAGAACTCCCAAATGGTGCCCATCCTATTATGCATTGTTATAGCGACAAGGTTAAATCTGCTAAACAGAAAGAGGGGAACAAGGAAGAGTTTCTTCGGGAGGGTTGGTGATGTTTTGGGTAGAGGGGGTTGGTGGTACCGAGATTGGACAAAGATGGGTTATTTGCCATACGTAAATTTGATTCCGCCTCCACCCCATTTTACATGACCTAGTCAAGTTTACAAGGATCGACTTGATTTTTATATACCATCCCTTAAGAATAATATTTATATTTACAGAACTTATATGAGAATCATGATGACCACAAATTACTTAAACTGAAAATAGAATACATATTGAAAAGGCCACCATCCAAGAAGAATGTTTTGAGTCTCTCAATACGTAACTAAGTCCAGACTCAGGATGAAGTATGAACAACTGATCACTGTGATAGAAGGTAGGATAGCCATGGATATTTTCGCCAACAAAGTACATGGTAGACTACACAAGTTTATCCTCCAAAGAACTCCTTATTAAATCAAGCAGCCATGCATTTTTGGAGTATGACTTTTCTCAGAATCCAACTCTGTGAAGGAAAGAATCACACTTAAGAGCATAAAGCAAAACTCACCCTTCGAGATTCTTCTCTTCACAAAAATTTTTGAAAGCAACACAAGCATTCTTTACTCTTTGTGCACCTATGCTGCAAAACAAAATAGGGCTTCTAAGTAAACAATGAGCTAGATCCCACCTGTAAGAATTTATACAAAATTCCTACATAACTAAATTCAAACGACAGAAGCAGAATCCCAAGTCAATCCTTGACTGACTTAAAACTTTTAGCTATCTATTACTTGTCCACATACTATAGAAATAATCAAATCAAATGCTTAAGCATCAATTGAAGCCTGGTTACTATATCAGCAAATAGTCCTAACGATATAAAAGTCAGATACCTGGAACTGCTACCCTTGAATTGGTGAACATGGGCATCAACCTGCTTATAATCCACAACTTGCTGCTGCCTGTATAATCAGAATTACCAACCTATGTAGCTCAATCTTTTGAAAAATTCAACAAACAAAGAAAAGGCAAGCTAACCTATAATAATCATAAGAAAAAACTACTACTCACAGAGCCATGGCCAGATTGTTGAGAAGTTTTTCAGAATCCTCAAAGAAAAGGGACACCACTTCAACCACAAAATCAGGGTTGCTCTCATCTTGCAGTTTCTGAAGCTGAAGAAACTGATAATCCAAGAATCCCTTTTGTGTTTAAAACAGCGAAAAAAACCCTCATCAGAAATAGCCTCAAACCAAGACATACCCAAATCAAAACAAACATGAAAAAGGGGGGGAAAAGAAGATAAAGACTGCATCTTTGAACTTTATTTACTGAATCACCCAAAAAAAAAAAAAAAAGAGAGGAAAAAAGGATATAAAGATTGTATTATTTTCTGGGGTTAACCTTTCTTGAAGACAACAAGCTCACCTCACGATAGAGAGATCGCATGAACTCCATAAACTGGTTCTGCAACTTCCCTACAATTTCCATGATTTTGGGGTTGTTCTCTTCCAACTTTTTACACTCTTCAATCACTGCTTTTGGACTATTCGGTGGACTTAGAAAATAAGCAGATCTCACAGATGCACGACAAGTATGGATATAGATATATGTTTTACTTATATATTAGCGAGGCTAGTAATGAGTTTGAGGAAGACATTGAAAAGGACCTTGATATGGTACGAAATCAATGTGGTGTTATTAATCTTGAATTGACTTCTCCCATAACAAACGCACATTTATTCATTAAAATAAACAAAAATGTCACGTCTGGTTGTATATGTCCCAGTTGCCCCCTTTTTTGTCTCACCTTCTATATTCAATTTATTTGGCTAAAATGACATACTATATAAAATGAACGGGATTCGCCAGAAAATTATATTATAATATTATATAAATTTTATTATTTTATATATATTTACTATAGGTTAATTCTTTTTGACTTTTCGATGTAATTTTTATTTTGATATTTCTTAGTAAAAATTCAAACTAATACTACCGGAGGAAGTATAAAGATTGAAATAGTTGATCCGCAATTAATATAGAGTAGTGAGGTAATAATTTTGTTGTTTTATAGTACGACAAATAATATTATATTATTTGTTTTACTAAATTAAAGTTTCTTTGTCAAAGTGAAACTATGAAATTAAAACATAAGAGTACTATAGCTCATCTCTATTTCCGTCCTTGTTTCAATGCATTTAGTAATTGTTTTTCTGCAAATGATTCAATTTAATTCCTTTCATTATTAGCATCAATGAAACTTGCTAGATTTAACCAATTCGCCATATTAGCATCTACAATAAATCTAAAGGCAAACTAATAAAAAATTCACATAATAGTTCAATCATACTGAGCAACAAATAAAATAATAACGATAACTGAGGAATAAAAGGAGAAAGAATGATATAAATATAAAATGATAAGATTTATTAAAATTTCAAATCAGAAAGCGTTTTTGAGTTATAATGATAAAAATCATATATACGTAAAATATCAAGTAACTTAAATCTTAATAGATAAAGTTAAAAATAAAAATATTAGGCAATGGAAGAATACAAAGCAATAAAGCATAGTTTTAAAATATGATTGACTTAATAACTAATCTTAAAAATCAAAATTTTAGTAAAAAAATCAAAGCAGAAGAAAAACTTAATTCTAGGCACATAATACAAAAATATCAATTATTAAAAAATTGATGGATTTATAACTAATAAAGACAAAATTAATTTATAATTTGGACGAATTCAAATGTAGATGAACAATAGAAAAAAAGTTTCACGATTTAGGAGTAAGAAAAATATATATCTATATCTATATTATATTATAAATAGAGAATTAACAAAAATTTTAAGTCAAGTAACAAGCTAATAAAATATCATAATATCAAATAAATAATACTAAATATAGTAGATTATGTAATAAAGAAAAGTGAGGTGCTAAAAAGTTATTCGATGATGGTATGAATCTTTTTCTAATTTCATAGGATTTTCTTTATTGGGTATGTTTCACTGGATAAAACAAAAAAAATTAAAATTTATTTCAAGCAATATGATCTAATGTGGTCAAACAAATTAGATCACACAATATGATTCATATTCTCCGTGCATCGCGCGTGTTCTATACTAGTACTAGTTAAGTTTTAAAACGCCAATTGAAGCTAAAATTTCTGTTACACTTAAATTACTCGTCTAAATCTTACTGTTGTGTGCGCTGGGGGATATAACACATATTTCATAGAACTATAGTCTGTTTGTCCAAGATTTTTTTTTGGCCAAAAGTGTTTTCTCCAAAGTTAGGGTATGTGATCAAGCATTTAGAAGGAAAAAAGTGATTTTGAGTAGAAGCAGGCAAAAAAAAAATATTTTCTTCCCAAAAGTAGTTTCTTGGAAAACACTTCCGAGAAACACAAAACACTTTTTAAAAGCTTGACCAAACACTAATTATTGTTCAAAAGAATTTTTAAATTAATTAGCCAATCACAAACTGTTTTTCACTAAAAGTACTTTTTTAAAGTATTTAAAAAAAAAAACACTTTCAAAATAAGCTGATTTTAACTTGAATCCCACAACTATTCTTTAAAAAAATATAGTCCAATAGATAAGAGCATATGCGTTACGCAACAAACACTTTGATTTGTGGTGTGAGGGGTTTGGTAGGTCCACCGTCCAAATAGGTGGGAATTTGTTGGCCCATGTTACCGCTTACAACTTCAATTTTAGTGAAGTTTAATGTAACAAACAAGATTTTATTGACGGTTGGTCAAATCCCACCTTCCCATCTACTTTTCTTTGGATAATATCACCCTCACATTGTTGGATTTTACATTTTTGGAGATTTTGAGGGAAATGGAGAATCACCCTCAAAGATTTGGATTAGGACATTCCAAATACATTAATTTTAATGGTACATTATACATTAGGGAGAAAGAAAACAAAAATGTATTAGCAAACTTGGACCAAACAAACACAACCATAAAAGAAAATAAACTTGATAACCTTCTAGCCACTTTCTTGTCACTCCCAAAAAGCACAATTGGAGCAAGCTGGGATTTGGCACCCTATAAGGATTGTCCTGCTTTGATTGAATACATGTATTTTTAAGACTTTTTTAACTTCTTTGCAGTTAGCATTCTTGATAGCTTTTGATAGAAGGACTTAAAAAATATCAGGGAGTGTAAGTTATACCATTGAAAGATTCGAACTCAATAACTTTAGCCCTGACCCTGTATATGTTTTAAGAAATTCAATAAGTACAAATAATTAAATTTAAATCCTGAATCTAAAAGCATCAAATTGCACAATGATAAGGTTGGTTTTCCTCTATAGGAATTATTTAGAATTCCACTCAGAAAACAAATACAGTAAAAAGAGTTACCAAACTATGGCAAAAAGAATTTTAATACATACTCTGTCTATAGTAACTTAGTAAGTATTTACAGGTTTGAAATGTACAAGCATATCCATTGTACAGCTGCAGGATCAGCCTTGCCAACAGTTTTCTGCATCTCATCGTTTTCACTTGCTTGATTTCCCCCACTGTCGCATCGATCATAGATTTTGACATCCTAGGAGTTTGAAGATCTTGTATAGTCATACCTATGACACAATTTTTTCCATGTATCGTCGTCTATTTCTTGCTATAATTGATTCCCAGTTAGATGTCAGGCTTCATTTAACTGAGATAGGTACCAACATAGGCGACTTCAAGATTCAGAGTCAATGAGTGTGATCTTATTAAAAGTGTGTGTATATATACAGTTCTATTCGAATCAACTTGCCCATAAGCCTTGATGCAGTCAGCAACTTCGTGTAATACCAATAATCACGAGGGAGAAATCAACTGAATCCCACCTTCGCATTTCCAATCTTGTCTGTTTCGACAAATGTATTGAGCCTTAAGCCAAATCCATCTCACTGTCTCAGACTTCCAATGCTATCTGTTCCTGCAGACTCAAACCACTTAAGCCTCTACTCATTTTGCTTTCTTCTGCATTAAAGAGTTCTTCATAATACCTCTTCCAATGGGAAGGTTTCCTACATCTCCTGATTAAATCCAGGCTTTTGCTGTTGCCTTTCAGAAGCAGCAAAATCTGTATCAATCCAGAGTTCAGATCTTAATTCATCATGAACTACATAAGAATGCTAGTGATAGAATTGAAATAGGTGATGCAGCGAGAAATGTATAAAAAGGAGATTTAAATTAATATGTTCCTTAGGGTCTACTTGAAAAACTGAAAATGATCAAATGTCTTTCAACACTTGCCTGATTTATTCGAGGTCGTCTAATTGAAGACTGTTGCACACACAAAGAAGCAGCTAAGACCATGAGGTTAATCTGTAGTAAGTTATAGTCATCAGCAAGTGAAGGATCGACGAGCTCTCTAATTCTGTTCTTCTTCAGCAGAGGTTTAGCCTAGAATAAGCAAAAAGGAGTGTTCGGCACGTATACTTGACATACAAATGGTAGATAAGATATGCAGTGGCTATGTATAGTGATGGCGGAAAATCACGCATACCCATATGACGAGGCTTTGCTGTGAATAATCAAGGGCTCGACGTCCCGTGATAAGTTCCAAAAGTAGCACTCCGAAAGCAAAAACATCAGTTTTTTCATCAACTATGCCATGCATCAAGAACTCGGGAGCAAGATAGCTGCAACCACAAAGTTTGATGAGAACACTATAATAAGACAAACTCACACGAGAATTAGAAGCCTTATATTGCAAGTAGGAAGGTAAAGGGAAGCCCAAAAGCATACACACCCAAACGTTCCTTCAAATTTCGATATTGTGAGGTGAGTCCATCGCTCTGGTAGCCATTTTGCAAGCCCAAAATCACATATCTGAATTTAAAGCAGAAAGAACTTGAGGTCTTATTGATACCAAGAAAGTTGGAAGTAAGAAAAAAGAAGATTCTGTTTCCGGTGAGTACACTTTAAGTAAAGCACTTGACAATTCGGAGAAAAATGTTAATAATTAATATAAGTCTAAAATACCTGAGGTTCAAGGTCCTTTGTGAGCAATATATTTGCTGCTTTAATATCTCTGTGGATAATCCTTCTTTGACCACCTTCATGAAGATATAGTAGCCCTTCAGCTATTCCTATGGCTATTTTATACCTGATTTTCCATTCTAGTTTCTGCTTTGATGCTGTGAAATATTGCAGAAAAAGAGTAAAGAAACACAGAAGAATAAAAGAATTAGACACAATACATGAGATTTGTTAAAATGTTAGGGGAAGTTGGACAAATTAAACACTAACCATGCAACATATTGGCCAAGCTTCCATAAGGAGATAACTCAAGAACAAGAAAGAGTCCACCATCGACAGCATAACCAATCAATTTAGCAGTATTTGGATGGTTGATATGTGCCATTATCCCAAGCTCAGATAAGAAATCCCCTATTCTCTCATCTTGTTGTCCCCTCATTAGCCGCTTAACTGCGATATATTGGCCATTTCTCAAGCGCCCTTTGTGAACTTCAGCATAACCACCCTTTCCTATCAAATTTTCTATAGCAAAAAATTAAAAAAAATTTAGAAACTACAAAAGTGAAGATTTTTTTCACTCAACAAAAGTTATACAACAACAAGAACAATTAAGCCTCAATCCCAAGCAGGTTGGGGACGGCTTTACGAATCCTCACTATCTATTTCGCTCCATTAAGTCCTGTCTTAGTCCAATATTATAAAATTAGTTTCTCAAGTACTAAAAATTCTCTATATTTTCTACTAGCATATAAATATCGGGTTGTTTGGTTACTAGGATGTGATAGACAAGGATATGCCATAGGATTAACTATCTCACCTTCTATATGGGATAGTCAATTCCACCATTTAGTACAAAATGGTTCGCGGAACTAATTAATACCATAATCAATCGCGGTATAAAACAATCCCACATTTTATCTCGGGATTGTTATCTCCTAGAAACTCCTAGCAAACATTGGAATTGAAGTAACCGTACTAACATGGCTAAAACTTAACAATTGTTATTTGACTGCAAAATTCAACAAAAGGGTACAAAATTTGAAGTGAATAAAATTTCAAGCAGATGACCAACCTTGGTGAAAATTGTTGGTTGCAGTTTGGAGCTCAGAGAGGGTAAAAAGTTTCCACTGAGGTTTAAAATAGTTCAAACCATTATCAAGAATGGGATTTGGCATGACACTGCTGCTACTTGTCTCTCTCATGCTTCTGCTGAATCTTTTGGACAGTTTCATAGAACTAATTAGAGGATCTTTGGCAAAGTGTCGTTTCGATTTACTTCTAAATAGCTCGAGAAAACCGGTCCATCGTGAAGCAGATGTTTGAATTTTCGGGCCATCAAATTCTGAAGTGCTAGCTTTTGAAGAGTCTGATTCAGATTCTGCAGTCCTCAAAAAGTCCTCAAGTACTGTATCAGGAGAATATGTATTCACCTTTCCTTTCTCCATTTCTAGAGCTCAAACGCCGTCTATTATGAAGTACGTAGTTGCAAACACTTGTTAGACTAATAGGCTAAAACACACAATATAATCATTCTTCAAATCATGTTGTTTAAAGTAGAAAGGTAGAGCCAAATCAAGACAGCTTTTAAAACGACTAATCACTATAATTGACAAACAAACTAAGACAGATGACAAAAAAAAAAAAGGTTCCAACTTTAGAACAGGAAAAGGCCAAAATATCTGAGGTAAAAAACAGACATGCTGAAACTAGCCGGAACTGGAAATCAACGAGCAAAACAGAGCATCTCCCAGAAACTATTATTTCTTCATTCCTTTCTTATTATATGGCATTGGCTGAATACGAAGTTTACAAAGAAATAGAGATTTCCAATATATACCAAAAGTATCTTGAAGTCTTTAACATCGCCAGTAGTACTTTAGATAACAGATTTCGCCATAATCAAATTGTTTTTTTATCATATTTACATATAAAAATTATTACTTATACTACTTTTTCTATCGTTTTGAATATTAAAATATTAAAGTAAACTAATCTAATTTAGTTTCAAGATTTAGTCAAATTAACAATTGATAAGTAAAATATATCATCCAAATTGAAATAGGGAGTACAATTAGATGTCAGGAAAAAAACGAGTTTCTAAATATCAGAAGTTATTTGCAAACAGAAAAACTAGAAAATAGCCGGAAAGACGACGAAGTTTTCCACTATAGTTAAGATAAAAAAAACAAAACACGTATTCCAAGAAATGTACATTAATAGTGGAAAAAAGTCGATAAGTTTCATAAGACATGCATATGATGACATACCAGAAAGAAGAAGTTGACAGAGAGTTAATTCTCCAGAAGCAAAGCACAAAGTTCCAGAATAGAACAGAACAGAACGGTGGAAGGGATAATACAATACAGAGCTACGGGTATTTGAGCTAAATATTTCTGGGTTTTAGGATCATCACAAAAAGGGAGGAGTATATAGGAATATAAAGAATTCTTTTTTTTTTTCTTCTCTGTTTATTAGCAGTGTTTTTTTTTTGAAATAAAGGAAAATTCAAGTTTGGCGTCCTAATTTCAATTTTATGGCTTCTTTATTATGATCTCTTTTTGTTCTTATTTCTGAATGAGTACTTTTTATTATTACTCTTTTGAAACACGCAATAGACAAATGTTGCTCTATTTTCTTCACAAATAAGCTGCCTAACTTACCCCACTCTTCACCAACCTAGAAAACTCAAAATAAGGAACAATACAAAAAGAGAGAAAAGAAAAGAAATACTACTTAATTATGTTTAAAAGAATAAACAGTAGCTCACTATCGCTTAATGTTCACATGAACTTTCTGTGTGGATAACAATTTCAAAAATTGAGTTATCTTCCATTTGAATTTGATTAACCTTGACTATTTGATTTTTAAATATTCGTTGCTCTTTTTTTTCAAGGCAGTTGACCCACTTAATTTCAACTCTATTTAATAGTAATATATTTTAAGTTTAGATTATATGCACTAGTACTGCACATCATCAAGTTAAGTTAACCTACAATGGCTACAGTAAGCTTTTTGTTATCGATATTTCAAATATTTAGTAATTGAACAAATTTAAGTTAGAGAACTAAAAAAGAAAAGAGAACGGCCGGTGAAATAGTATTGTATACTAACTCCACTAGAACAAATTAGTTATATAGAGTTATAACTCGAGGACAAAAACACATGTAATTTGCCGTGCTCGTTTCAACAAATATAAGCGTTGAGATTGCCATATATAAAAAGGATCAGGAATTAGTTGAAGTTTCAAAAACAATTACACAGAGATCTAGACACTAGACAGTAATAAATGAAGAAAGGTAAAAGGATTGCAATAGACTAGATGAATTAAAAAATAAAATTAAAAACTGGTTGGGTTGTGAGGGAAGCATCCTGTCATAATTACAGCAATCTAAATGACTTCCATCATTATTTCCACTCTATACATCAAGAAAGCAACACTTATCACCCGATCCCTCTTCGCACGTACGCAACTATTTAAAAATTGCAATTTGTGATTATATTGCTTCGGAATTCTCATCATCATCCCCACTTTTTATTGCTAATATGATACTTTGTGATTTATCGCAATGATATAAATTGCTTGTTCCTGTTTGTTTTTTTTTTTTAAAAACTATTATCCAAGGATTGTGATCGAACAAATAAGATCAGAGATGAAATTAGAATTTGAAGTTTATGAGCTCAAGATTATAATCCTTTTAAGTTACTATAAATTAATAATTTGTACATATAAAATAAATTTTTGTAAGATGAATACAAAATTTGGATTAAAGTTACTGAGTTCGGTAAAATTTATTCTTTGGTTTCTAGCTCTGTCCCTGAATAAGACCCCTCCTATCATAATCTAATTCGAACCTTGAGTACGAAAAAATTTCTTGCAAGGAGCATTCTCCTTAATAATCCTTATACATCATGAATTCGAATTAGTTGCAGCGCTAATGCAAATATGGAACACCGAATCATAAAAAAAAGCTTTAGTTTCTTTATCTCTCCATCTCTCCAGGGCAGAGAATTAATTGCAATCCCTTCCATGCATGATGCATTAACATTAATTTGTGAATGATTTCCTCTTTATTATAATTAATTAAGTTAGGTCATTTTATTATGTGTACTCCACCATTTTATAAATAATGAGCCAATATAAGTAAAAAGAGGAAGCAAGCGTGGAATGCAAAGCAAACGACTGATGGAGTCATATAATTTACCACTCCTACTAGGTTCTTTTTTTTTTTTTTTAGATAAGTAGTGTACTAAAGAAATATTGATCTTTAGTGAATCTGTGGATGTCGTTGCTTTCAATAGATTTATGTGAAGATTATATACTTCTGGTATAAGTCATGTCAGTGTTATAAACACTTTTTAGTTGGTGTTTATTTTTTAACTCATAACATTCTTGCCTGGCATAGGGTTTTTGCCACGTTAACTAATTTTTTCTCATATGCACTTAAGAACTTATTTTCGCTTATTATGGGCGTTGCCCTCCTTTTTCTTTGATTAGCATGGTTGATCAAGTCTTTGGTTGACTCAACCTTGAAATGCAGAAGTATTCACAAGGACGACATAAGTACTTGATAGGCAGAGTTATTTGATATTGCGTGGGTAAGAGATATACAATACCCGATGAAATTAATTGAGGTACGTGTAAGCTGACTCCGATACTGTACTGACACAAAAAAGAACCATCCTTGCGACGACGACGAGCATTATTTGGGAACAATTATACAAGAATTAATTAGAAGATGGTTGGCATGCCACGCATATTGATTGAACATATATTTTAAACTCACGGATTAGTTATGCTTTTATATTAGTCTCTCGTAACGTGATTGATAGTAAACCAATGCATGCGTTGTTATTCTAATCCGTATATATTATACTTAGGTTTTTAAGTCATGCTTAAATTTCACCAATTGTGACTAGCCAGCCTCGATTACAGGAAGATCCTTGATCTTGACCACCATTTTGCCCATTTACACTAATACTAAATGAATAAATTACAAGTTGCTAGTATGTTATTTATTTGTCCAACTAATTGGCCACCGAGCCGACGAGAATAGAAGCTAAAGGAATAAATTATTACTGATCGGTTATATTGGTGTCAAAATAATTTAAAAAAAAGTTATTCATCTATATTATTCATTAAAAAATGAATTGGATAATGACTTTTTAAAAACGGGTCAAATATAGATAAGAAATATATTATCCACTTAAAAAAGGGAGAAATTCAAAAATAGCCAGATTTACAAGTGATAATTGAAAAATAGCCACAATTTTAAAAGTAATCGAAATTTAGCCACTTTTCATGTAAAGATAAATCTGAACGAAAACACTGTTCAAAATCCGGAAAATACTCCAACATAATATACTAGAATTCCAGTATAATATACTAGAGTTCCACTATAATATATCGGTCCAGCATAATATGCTCGAAGTTCATACACAGATACTTCAATCTCCAGTATATTATGCTGGAACTTTCCGCGTGTTGGAGTTCTTCATAATATGCTAGAAGTTCATACACAGGTGCACCAATCTCCAGTATATTATGCTGGAACTTTTCGTGTTGCAGCAAAATAGTGGTTATTTTTCAATGGCTTTGCAAACGCTGGCTATTTTTCAATTACCAGTCCAAAAACTGGCTAGCCCGTGTTATTTTTACCTTAAAAAATGGTTAACCAATGAATAACTAATGGGTTTAACTTTTATATTTGTAAAGCGTCAAATTGGGGGTTCCTCAAGTTTAGAAGACTAGTAATTCTCCCAAAATTGATCATATCCAAGAAGTCATGGATAATATGAATTATCCGCCGATTAACCCATTTTTATCTGTATTAATTATGGGCCAGGTCGAATAATTTATCCGTTTTTCATTACCCGTTTTCGACCCGCTCAAATCTGACCCGACCAGCCCACATCCGACCCGACACGACCGTTTGTCACCCCTACTTGGTTACTTTATTTGCTCATGTTTTAAACACTATAGCTGCTTAAAGTCTCAAGCAATACAACTTGTATTAAAGTAAACGAAATGTTTATTTAGTTATAAATAGTCAGAATATGTAACTAGCATTTGAAAAGTATATTACTTGTATTATTATCAAACTCCAAACAATTGAAGGTCGAGCTGCCGTCGTCAGCTTCTTGGTATAATTTTCAAGGAGATACTTAAAGAATTTCTATGTATACAAATTGTATTGGTCTAAATTTGGATGGCTTGATAACAGCAAATAAAACATGATCAAGGATAGAACCGACCACAGCATAATGGCGAGGAGTCGCCTTAAGAAGGATTATTGCCGAGGTCAAGCAAAGAGGGGAAAGAAGCAATGGTAGGATAGTTTAGCAATAGATATAAGGAATACTCCATTGGATACTCCATTGGATATTCTCTAGGTTGTACTTTTTAGGGTTTATTTGGGATAACCCTTATAAATAGGAAGAGATAAAGAACAAAAAGGGGCTTCTTCACTTTTTTTTTTATAAGAGCACTTGTATAGGGTTGACTACAAAGAATATAAAAAAAGGCTTGTCTTGTTCACTGATTCTGTTGCTCAACACACGTAGCTCACTCTTTGTTTACAAGATCCAAAGATTCCCTATCCATCTTCATTTATCTTTATCCCACGTTGCTGTCAGGAAGAAGAATCACCCAAACCATTTAACATTTGGGTGGTATATTCCTCTTTATTACATTTATTGCCATTATCTGCATTTATTGCATGATCTTATTATAACATTTATTGACATTCATTGAGTACATATCTGATATTTGTCACGCATAAACACGGTCCCATCCCACGGATCTGTCTAAGTTTTTTATCTAAAATTTATTATATCTAACTAGAATTCACCCTCTATTCCCTCATTAATTAGTTTAACAAAAAGCTTAACACTTTTTGATCAAACAATTTGGCGCCGTCTGTGAGGAGGTTCTAGCTAAATTTTAGTTCTTTCTAGATAATTAAAAAAAAAAAAGAGATAACAACATCATCCATCTTTTCCTCGTTTGGATGAACTAACAATGGCAGGAAAAGGAGATAAAAGACTGAAAGCAATAGTAGACGTCACTACTAACCTCTTGAACACCATCAATGTAACGACCCGGCCGGTCGTTTTTGGAAATTTCGCCCCGATCCCCCATTAACTGTTTCCCCTAAGTTCACTTCTGCTATTTTTGATTTGCCGGGACGTTCGGTGTTGAGTTTTGGAGAGTTTTGGGACACTTAGTCCCTAAATGAGAGCTTAAGAGTTGAAAAATGGTCCGAAATCAGAACAGTGTGAAGACGACCTCGGAATGGAAATCCGATGGTTTCGTTAGCTCCGTTAGGTGATTTCGGGGTTGGGAGCGTGTTCGGAATGTATTTTGGAGGCTCGTAGCTCATTTAGGCTTGAAATGCCGAAGTTTGAATTTTTGAAGTTTCCGGTCTGATAGTGAGTTTTTGATCCGAGGGTCGGATTGGAATTCCGGAAGTTGCAGTAGTTCCGTCATGTCATTTGGGACGTGTGTGCAAAATTTCAGGTCATTCGGACGAGGTTCGGGT